AGCCTAGGATTTGCCAATAGGAAGGTCAGCGGTTCGAATCCCCGTGACGGGGTGAGCTCCTGTTGCTAGGTCCCTGCTCCTGCCAACCTAGCAGTTCGAAAGCACGTCAAAGTGCAAGTAGATAAATAGGTAGCGCTCCGACGGGAAGGTAAACGGCGTTTCTGTGCACTGCTCTGGTTCGCCAGAAGCAGCTTAGTCATGTTGGCCACATGACCCGGAAGCTGTCTGCGGACAAACGCTGGCTCCATCGGCCTATAGAGCGAGATGAGCGTGCAACCCCAGAGTTGGTCACGACTGGACCTAATGGTCAGGTGTCCCTTTACCTTTTTATTCTTGTTGTAGCAATCTGAGCCAGAGAAGAACCATAAATAAGGGATGGCATGAAATATTGGCATGCTTTGCAAACGTATCAGATTCATATTCATTGTGAAGTTTGGCAATATTATTTCAGTACTGTTGTTCCTTAGCATCTCCCAGAAGTGATGTAAGCTATCATTCTGGATAGCTCAGTTGCTTTGAGTGTGGTGCTGATAATTCTAAGGGGGCAGGTTCGATCCCCATATAGGACAGCTGCATATTTCTGCGGGGCAAAAGGTTGGGCTTGATTGATCCTCAGGGTCCCTTCCAACTCTATGATTCCATGACCACCCAGGAGCCAGGATGGGACATTTGGGTGCCCCACCTGCTCCCTGAGCTGTGCTTTACCTCCCTAGTATTTTTTAAATTGTCTTTTTAATGACAAACAATGGTAGCCTCCATTTAGCAGACGACAACTTATTTTAAGAGCAGGAGCAATGCAAGAACAGAACCTTCTGAAAAAAATTCAGTGAATACAGCAGAACAAGTGCAACAGTCTGCTCACTCAGGGCTTTTCCTGATCGAGGATAGATTTTTCACAATCACTATGACCCTATAATTACTTAAATGATCCAGTGGGCCGGCAGTCTACATAGCAGCACGGCCGTTTAAAAGTTAATTATTAGAACTTTGTATTGTGGGCTAGATTACAGACATAGGCAAACGCGGCCCTCCAGATGTTTGGGGACTACAACTCCCATCATCCCTTACCACTGGTCCTGTTAGCTAGGGATGATGGGAGTTGTAATCGCAAAACAGCTGGAAGGCCGAGTTTGCCTATGCCTGGGTTAGAATTTAGACTTCACTCCTTGGACTTTCCTTTGCTCTGCCTTTCACTTTCACTTTCACTTTCACTTCCAGTTGTGTTCTCTACCCAGCCAGCAATAAGGAAACATGTTTGCTTGCCTACAAGAAGAAGTTTTTATGATGAGTAAAGCAGAATTGGATGCTTATTGCCAAAGGGTCATCTAAAAAGTATCTACCCTAAGAAACCCTTTACTCTTTTAAAGCAGTGACTATGTTTACAATCATATATATTTTTACAATATTTTCTCTTCTTTGAGTACTTGATGCCAAAGGATGAAACTAGCCTTAGAGGAGCAGAAATATTGTGCACACGGCAGTCAGTTGGTTGGTTGGCCAACTAGGCTGGAACTAGGGCCTAATTTCTGGTTTTTCTAATGTGTGCAGCTGAGCATGAGGCTTTTTTAGGGTTTAAGAAAGGGAGGGGGGGAATCCAGAAACCTGTAAAAATAATCCTAATTGCTTTCCGCAATGAGTTTCCAGTTGTTTAGTTAATCCTTGATATAATAACCAGTTTAAAAGTTTTCCCTTGATTTTCCAACAAGAAGAAAAATATAAAGGTCAGAAACTGATTTTTTGAGAACACAAGATCCACACTAGTTTGTAATTTCTTAGTTATAGCATAGGATGATCATGACAAGAATATGGAAATATTTAAAGAGATTAAATAAAGTTGTATGGACTAGTCCAATCTAGTCCATAGCGATAGCTGAAAAATAAGTAAAAAATTAAAGTAAACCAGGGGGCAAACAAACAAAAAGATTCATTTTCAACTACACGGAAGAAATTATTTTATATATTGATGATAACAATGGTCAAATGCTTTCTGTGAAATATGCTACTACTTTTTGTAGTAACTTTTCATCTTTAAGTGTGAATATTGTGCGATGATGAGAACAATAACCTCTTGATAAAACAGATCTTAAACAAAATGATACCAATCTAAAACATCAGTAATAGCAATTACTTTTTTGAAGGATTGTGCATGAAATGTCTTATTTGTTTGTGTGTGTGTATTTAATTTCAAGTCTCATTCGATTGTATTATTTTTTTCTTTATTCCTGTATGCCCTTGAAGTGTACATTGCTTATTAAATAAATAAAGGTTTGTTTTTTTAAAAAAAAATCAAGAGTTATCAGTTACCATCATTCTTCATCATGCATGTTGTCACCAGAAATCATTTCTGCCAAGAAAAACAATATTAACGAACAATATCCAACAAAGCAGTTCAACTAGATCAAGGACTTTTACCTGAGCAATGGAACTTCCATACCCTCAGAACAGATTTGGGGATGTACAGGGATAGGAGAAGTCAGGGAAGTTCTACTGTACAGCCAAAAGTCCTTGTGCTAGTGGAACCATTTAGCTGATACTGCCTAATAGTAATAGTAATAATAGTAATAGTAATAGTAATCAATGACCCAGGACACCCTTAATACTCAAAATATGGAACTGAGAGTCCTTAGCACTTCCCCAGGAGATATTTTCTACCTTTCAGGATTAGTCTTCTAGGGCACACAACCAGGGCCGGATTTAGGTTTGATGAGACCCCAAGCTACTGAAGGTAATGGGGCCCTTTATATGTCCAGCTGTCCTTTGTCAACAACAAATTGCCGCTGTTTTTTGTGTGTTGAATATATGCTATATGGCAATTTATGGACCTAATAGGTATCTAAAGCCATTTACACTTGTTGCCGTGCAACCAGTCCATGCAGAATGTAGGCACCCTATATATAGAAATGAGCAAACCAGTGATATTTTAGGGAGCAGGCTAGCAGGCGAGGCACATTACTTACATCATAGGAGCCTACACAACACAAAACACTGTTGCTGTATGTTGGTTTTATTTGTTTTTTAGCTTATATTTTGGAAATGTACATCCAGGTGTTGTTTTTTTCTTTTAATTTTTTTGGGGCCCCCAAAACAAGCTATGTAAATAGCTTGTTTAGCATTTACATAAATCCAGCACTGCACACAACCCACTGGCAGAAATGGTGTTGGATGCAGGAAGGTTGCCTGAAAATACAAACCAGGGAGCACAATGCTTTTGGTGGCCAAGCTGTGCTTTGCATACAAACTGTAGGACCCGAGCCTTCCAAATGCGATGCTGATTTGCATTACAGAGGACAAAACATTCTGAGCAGAGAATAGCAAATCGGCCGCCTTTTAATGAGCCATTGAATTTCACACACCACAACAAAGATGCCCACCTTTTATTTACTGTAGGGCCCAGGGATTCTATGGGTAGTGCGGCCGTTATCTTCACACAATCAGAAACATCAGGTCTCCCAGACAGAGACAAAGGAACCCCAGCATTTGCTTGGATACCGAATTCAGCTGTTTGCCACACCACAGAATGCCTGCCTCTGTCAGCCAATCCCTGAATGCTTTCTTCACGGGGACTGATGTCCAGATATTGTTATTGTGACACAAGGAATTGGATGCATTTGTTAATCAGTCTTTTGCAGAGCGGAAGTCTGGTTTTCTCTCTGTTCATATGGTTGAAAATCCCTGGTCTGGTTCCATTACAAGACCACACAAAAGGACATCTTCCTTTTTCTTCTCCTTCTCCTTCACAGAATCGGGGAAAACTGAATGCTCTTTCCCACCCCCCAATAACCCCCACCCCAAGACTTTCTTTATTTCTTCTCTCCTTTTGACGGGTAGGGGTTTTTATGGCCATATCAGAAAGTCAGACATTCTTTCTTTCTGTGATGAATCACATTTTAATTAGCACCGAGGTTTCCAGATTTTTCAAAAGCATCACCTCAGGAGGTTATTTTAGAAGATGACTCTACATTTGAAAACACTATGGACAGAGGCTTTTTAAAATTGCTGCCTGATGGTTAAGTCCAAAATTAATTTCCCAAGGAATTCTCTCAGAAACTGCATCTTCTGACTCTGTATGCAGTATAAAAATTGTTTTATAACTATTCAGTAATAAATATCTGAGGGGAATACATGTTACTAAGCAGGCATTATTCCCTCAAAGTGAAATCAGCAGTGTTTAAATAGGAAAATGAAAGATAAGGCAGAAAACTGGACTTAAAAATCACCTTATTTAATCCTTTGCAAATTCGAAAGGTGGAATGCTACTGATAAATGAGTTGGTGTCCAAGTACAGGACCTGAAACATTTCAGACATCACCACCCAGCTTTAGGCAAAGGGAGGAACAGAAAGGAGACCAATCAATGAAGCTTCCTTGCCTCCAGCAGATCAGAGCAGATTATATTCAAAGCAGGCATGGTAGCAAAAGTGAGTCATATGGACATGCTCTAGTTCAGAAGTGGGGGATTGTTGCTGTGCAGATTTTGCCTATCTACATCATCCCTGTCTATTGAACTTGCTGGCTGGTGCTGATGAGAGTTAATCTCTCAAAAGCATCCGGAAGACCACAGGTAAACCTTGCCCTAATCTAGGTAGTTTGTTCTTTCCCTAGAGTCCTATACCTTCACCTCAAATATATCTATTAAAAAAAAAAAGATAATTGTATGCTTAGTCTTCTTTGTGAGGTAGGCTCCAACAATATCCTTGTCTCCTCAACACTTTCACAGACTCCTGGTATGAATTTGGGAAAGCAACTTCACTCAGACCACTATATCTTCCCTCAAAAACAGGAGAAATAGAATGACCTACTTCCATTTTAGATCTCTGTGGTGCTGCTTCTTTCAGAGGAACACAGTAAGTTTTTGTGTACTGAGAAGACCATTGGTCCATCTAGCTCAGTGTTTTTATTTTTTTATATTTTACATTTTACATTTTACATTCTACTTTTTCTTTTTACATTTTTTACTTGCAGCAATTCTCCAGGGTATCAGTCAGGACATTCCTAGTTCTATGAAGCTGGCAGGGATCGAACCTGGGACCTTATGCATGCAGTGCAGATGCCCTACCACTGAGGTACATCCCTCCTCATGGTGTTCAGCTCATTCACCATGAGCAGGCCCTGCCATCTTTCACGATACTATAAACACGTGAAATCGGAGGTACAAAACCACTCTTGCCACATAGGTAGTTCTGCTCTTGAGAAGTAGGTAGGACTGGTATTTGACACCGGCCAAACTTGATAAAATGTATAGAAATCAAGATAAAGAATGCTGGAAATGTGAGGAGAAAGAGGGGAATTTCTTCCACATGTGGTGGACGTGTACTAAGGTGAAAGCCTATTGGGACATGAAATATAATGAATTGAAAAAGGTTTTTAAATATACCGTACTTTTAATAAAAAACCACAGGCATTTTGTTAGGTATAATTGGAGACAAAATTCCTAAAAAAGATGTAAATTTGTTTATGTATGTTACAATGGCAGCAAGGATACTTTTGGCCCAGAAATGGAAGCAGCAGGAACTTCCAACATTGGAAGAATGGCAGACTAAAATGATGGAATATGCAGAATTGGCAAAGCTGATGGGGAAGATCCCAAATCAGCGTGACAAACTGTTTGAAAAGGACTGGGGTAAATTTATACAATATATGAAAGAACATTGTAAACATCTGAAAACATTTGTAGGTTTGAGTTGAAATATTTTGTAATGTTAATATTGGGGAGCTGATTTACATTTAATGAGGTAAATTTTACTATGAAAGAAAGAAGGTAAATAAGTGGTTATAGAAATGCTAAGAAGGAAGTGAATATTTTTGAAAGCCAGAGAGTGGGACGGGGGGAGTCGAAGCTCAGTTTGAGCAATGTTTTCGGTCATGAGATTATGTAATGGAATGTGATTACGGTAAAATGTAAACTCAATAAAAATTATTATATAAAAAAAGAGAGAAGTAGGTAGGACGATCTATTTGTCACCAGTAGAAAGTCATCAGAGAAAGGAAGGGAAGAACAACTGATAGAAACAAGGTAGCAGTGTTCCCCACCCTCACACTCAACCTTCAGACAGGTATTGTCAGGGACTGGACTGAACAGGAGGAGTGGGAAATGAAGAGAAGGGGGAGTCAGTAGAGGAGGGGGAGTGGGAAGTTTCGCCTCCCCTTCTCTAGCAGTTTCAGGAGGAGAAGGAGACAGGGATGATGTACAGCTTAATGAGGAATTGCCTAATTAAGGAGGTTGAAGTGAGAGAGCAGACATCAGACATCTCCATGGAGAGTATGGGAGACCTTTCTGGTCCAAGGGCTCTCCTGTCCCTCCACATTCAAGAACAGAGAATGTGGAAGGATGTGACTTCTGTGACTTCCCGTAGGTTTCCAGGATGTTGTGGGGGACAGAAGAGGAGGGACTCGGAGTAGCCAATGTCTCCTATGTGTGTAGACATGGGTCTTTGTCATGCAACCAGATGACTGAATAAAAAGCCACAAGTTACAAACTTTTTGTTCTTGCTTCTGAGGCTACTGGGGGAGGAGAGGATACTCCACACTTGACAGTTATGAAATGTGAACAAAATTATACAGTGCTTTAAGAAGGAAAGGTGGGATGATCTCACATTCACTAAGGCCACATTCCATTAAAAAAAGTCACTGCATTTAGTTAGAATAAGACTTCCAGCATCTCCAGGTTTGGTCTGGAGACTCCTAGATTTGGAATTCAGGGCTGTGAACAAACAATCCACTCTCCAGGTGGATCTGCAGAGGGCTTCCTCCATGGCGGTTGGGAAAGATTGAGAAGCCCAGGGGGAAAAGGAGCAAGTGTACAATTCAAAATGTTCCAACCTGCCCTGCCCTTTCTTCTCAGGTATAGAGGAAGCAGCACAGCTAAGCTACAGGAGAAGGAGAAGCTGAGCTGAACTGGCTGAGGCTTCATGCAGCCAAGAAATGTCCATTGTTCAATGGTGTTATGTTGTGCTGCCCTGCTGTGCCTACTGCAATCTCACCTGGCAATTGGCGAGTCCCCCTAAACCAGGCATAGGCAAACTTGGCCTTCCAGATGTTTTGAGACCACAATTCCCATCATCCCTGACCACTGGTCCTATTAGCTAGGGATGATGGGAGTTGTAGTCCCAAAATATCTGGAGGGCTGAGTTTGCCTATGCCTGCCCTAAACGTTTTATGATTAATGCCCCATTTTTAGGGTTCCACTCTGTAACCAGATTCTTTCAAGATCTGGCAACTTTGTGGAATCGCTTGTGAATCTCAAGCTTTCGAAGATACTAGTCAGAGAGACTGTACTATATACTCAAGAGCCGGCCCTATCAGCAGGGAGCATGAGGTGATTGCCTCACTGATACAGAGGGCTGGAAAGTAGCAATGAGGTGTTATAGGGCAGAGCTGTGTACATGAAATGAGGCTTGCTGTCTTGTCCTTCACCTCAGGCAGTGAAAAGTCTTGAGTTGACCCTGCTGTAGCCGCTTACGTAAACGTAGATGCAAAGCCTGAAGTATCACAATTCAAAATCCATTGCACTTATTTAACTCCTTCCCCAAACTACACTGAATTCTGTTTCTTCTTCGAATATTGCTAAAAGTGAAAAAGGAAAGATAGGTAAGTACTGTATGTGACTTAGAACATATTGCACCTAATTTTGCATTTAATAAAGCAGAATATATTCAAATTTATTGAAGGGAGGTAGGGTAAGATTCTGGTTTTTGCACACTGATGTTGTTTTCAGCAGCAACTGCTAAGTATATAATTTTTGCCTCACAAACATCAAAACTCTACTCCATATTTTACATCCTCGCATCCTGATAGTTTCTTCATGGTGGGGTGTACTGTGCACACCTGGTATTTTGGCACATTGGGGTTTTGGAACATCAGCTCAAGTGTGACATTAGTAATGGAAGGAGGTGGAAGATTACCAGTTTGGTTGGGGGTTTTTGTTGTTGCTGTTGCTTGGATGGAAAGGGCCAAGTATATTTCTGTTTGGTCCTTCCGTTTCCAAGTATTACCTCATAACAATGGTTTCTAAATCCCTCATGCTCTTAGAACTCAGAACCAATAGCCTTTCTTACAGAGAATAAAATGGAGTGACGCCAGATGACAGCTGCAATACTCTCTCTCACTTGCACACTCTCTTTTTTCTTTTTCTTTTCTGCTAAGCTTTCACTTAGTTCAATGTCACTGCTGAACTATTCAGGCTCAGTGGAGGAGATATTCCAGCTTCCCCTCTCCCCTCTGCCTTTTCTCCTTGCTTCTGTGAGCTGAAGGCAATATCCATTGCTGCTTCCATCTATTAAGCTGCTAGCTCACAACATGTTTTGTTTGCTTTCCCACAAGTTTTTGAATTTCTTGAGTTATCCACGTCAACATGGGTTGTCAACATACACATATGTTTGCCAGGCAGTTCCCAGCAATGGCTTACCTATGGGCTGTGCCCGGAAGCTATGACCTGCCATTTCAAGTTTCCCAGAATGCAACAGAAATAACATCACTGTGGAGCAATGTGGGAGATGAAGATGGTGGCTAGCAGACACAGGGAAGCTGTCAGTGCCAACTGGCATGGCCAGCGTACTGTCCAAGGGTGCTGAGTGCTGACACCAGGCCCAAAGAGTAGGATATAGATGTTTCTTCTACCGCAGCCATACTGTTGTGTACAGAGATGTGCCGGCTTCATTAATGAACAGTTGTGTAGGGAATGAAGAGTATTTTAATAAAACCTTTTTCTTTTTTTTTTAACAAAATGGCATAGTTTAACACAATGTTTACAGTCAAAGCATTTCCCCACAGTGTTAAGCTTCTGCTGTTTGCTAACTCACCATGACTGCATCCAGAATACAAAGACCCAACACCACTTCCAAACAAAACAAAAGAAAACCTCTTGAGGACAATGGACTGTCAGCCACGATTTACTGTCCTAGTATTCCAGTGGGACAAGCTTCATTGCACAAGCTGAATCCCTGATTTGCACAACGGTCTGCATTCCCGCCATTCAACAAAGGAGCAAGTAGATGAGCAGTCAATAAAAGCGATGTCCTTTGTGTCGCCGCATGGGAGACCATCCCCGGAGAATCTGACTAAACGAATTATGAAATGCAGTATGAAATCAGCTTCTTTTGTGAGAGTTTGAGAAAAGGAGATTTGTTTATTTATTTATTTATTAGCAAAGTTTGCAGGATGAATGCTTGCGTTAAAACACTCGTGTGTTTTTTTCTGTTCCAGGCTGAATTGCTCCCTTTGGAATTGTAAGTGGGCTGGTGGACTTAGGAACTGGAAGCACATGAGGATACGTTTTGTTTCATGCTCTAGATCAGGGACTGGGAACCTGTTGTAGGACTCCAATGACAATTAGCACTAGGCTGCTGAATAAGCACATGCAAAAATGAATAAGCTGGCCATTGATTTAACAAGTGACTGGGAAACTGATCTGTTGCACTTCCCTTTGAAAGGACAGGTGTATAGACTGGGGATATTCCACGATCCAATATGGGAAAGCTCAATTATCTTCAGTGTCTAGGAATGCCTCTTATCAGTTTTGGCTGGTAAGTTATGACCAGTTATGACCATTCCTTGGCAGGGATAACTTGGCAAAAGTTGTCAATTCATTGGCAACTTCTATACTTGATTAATGTGAAGTAGCCAGTGTTTTTTTTAATTATTATTATTAATATAGAAAAAAAGGTGTTGGTACTCACTTTGAAGTTGTTAGGGTAAGTGCCACACTTTTAACATTGGGTGCCCGATTAAAATACAAATCTTTATTAAGGTCATAGACCAGCATAAAAGAGTGGAATACTGTCATTTAAAATCTGAAAAGCATTTTGGAAAGCTTAAAGGTATTAAAAGAGAAGGTAAAGATGAAAGTCGAAGAAGAAGAAGAAGAAGAAGAAGGCGAAGAAGAAGAAGAGTTTGGATTTGATAGCCCACTTTATCACTACTCGAAGGAGTCTCAAAGCGGCTAACATTCTCCTTTCCCTTCCTCCCCCACAACAAACACTCTGTGGGGTGAGTGGGGCTGAGAGACTTCAGAGAAGTGTGACTAGCCCAAGGTCACCCAGCAGCTGCATGTGGAGGAGCGGGGACGCAAACCTG